TCTAGGAGTTACCTCCCCAAAACAAAACAAAGTAAGAAAAAGGCAATTGTTCTTAATTTCCGAAGGACTATGTTACCACAAGGATAAAGTCTCTTGCAGAATATCTACCTATCTATCCATTCATACATCTATCTATTAGCTTAACTAATGAGAAACTTGGGTATTTCCTAGATACTTGGCTAATAATAATATATGGGCAAATAGAGGAAAAGATTCCTCTAATGCCTCTGTAACTCTTATTAACTGAATGAGGATGTCTCTCCTCGGGGATACCCTCTTCACCTTGCTAAGAGCTGTTCCTGGTAGTGCAGGGTTTGGATGCTGTGGGAATATGGGGAACAGCAGAATCTTCCTCTGAGAGAGTAGTGACTGTGATGAGAAATACATTTGTGGCAACTTACATAATATCATTACATGCAAAAAATAGTGTTCATCAAGTCTTCACTTTAGCCTCACTCACACACAGACACACATCCAAGCTAATAGGACTTCCAAATGGTTTGTAAACTGCAAGAACCTGTCTTGCACTGGAAAAATAGCATCACTCACTTTTGCCAAGATAGTCTAGTCCTATTTTGTCTTTTGAAGAGAGTAGCCTGGGTAAACTGAGTTTTCTAGCCTCTTGAGGTCACTGTTTCATTTCAGGTCCAAGTAAATGACAGAGGCCCCATTTTGTGGACTGCAGGATGCTCAGAAGCCTCTGTGGGGACTTCTAAGGGTTCTGTTCTAAGCCTTTTTTTTCTCACAAGGAATAATATCATTTTTTTTCTTTTGGTATCATTAATGTACAATCACATGAGCAACACTGTGGTTACTAGATTCTCCCCATTATCAAGTTCCCCCCCACATACCCCATTGCAGTCACTGTCCATCAGCATATTAAGATGCTGTAGAGTCACTACTTGTCTTCTCTGGGCTATACTGCCTTCCCCGTGTCCCCCTCCCCCACATTATGTGTGCTAATCATAATGCCCCTTAAGGAATAATATCATTTTATTACTGTAATCACAAAATCATAATTTCTTTTCGGGACTGTTTAAGTGCACATTAACCAATGCATTGATAATCCCCTTCATAAAGAGGGTGAACACACTACAGAACATATTGTAAAAAATATATATATCGTAAAATTTTCTGGCCTTGCAGTGCACTTTTTAGTGCAAATGTTTAAGATGCAATAGTGTTCAGTTCAGCAAACTACTGCAGAATGTCTTGCCACAGTCCACTTAGTTCAGAAAGAGTCAGGACATGCGGCTTGTAATAAAATGTCAAAGTGAGGACCCAGGTGCATTCCAATAACTGCAAACTGCTCCTGAATCTTTGGCCAATCCTGGCTACTTCCATGAGGTCCTCGCGCTGCCATGGCCCAAACACAGATCTAGGCAGAAGTGCATTCTACCCTCAGGGTCAACATTCTGACCAGGAGCAGTTTGTCAGCTGTCAGAAGGGCTGTTCCAGCTACCTCTCAGGAGAAGCTTATCACCACCTTATAAGGCTGTATAAGCAGCAACTACTTGGGCTGACTGTTTAACCAGTTGTCAGAAAGTTGATAAAGTCAGGTATTGATTTTAAAGAGGGAAGACTTGGTAACCTTGTTAACATGCACCTGTTCTGTCACACCTTTATTTAACCTAGTCTGCAGATGCCCAGGTGGGCATGATGGATGTGACAGTGGAACCTGACTGGTCTGCTTGGCACTCCCCCATCACTGGTGCCAATTCTAGATAATCCCTCTGGGTGAGTTGTTTTGGGGGGGATCAGAGATAGCTCTCTGTTAGGTTTTAACCTCCATGTGATTGGGGCATTTCCCCCACAGAACTTTTCAATATTTGGTGCAGTTGGTCAGAGAGAGCCATGTCAACCAGCTGCCTCCCATCATCCTGTTCTGCGGGATGGGGAGTACAGGACTGGGCCTGGGGAACTTGGGTTCTCGTCCTCACTGTTTCTGAACAGCCACATCACCAGTCTGGGCTTCAGTCTCCTCACTCATTGGCTGGGAGGTGTCAGCTTGTTAGGGCTGCTGTGACAAAGTACCACATGCCCTGTGGCTTGGACAACAGAAATTGATCTCCTTACGCTTCTGGGGGCTGCATGCCTGAGGTCACGGTGTCAGCAGGGCTGGTGCCATTGGAGGCCTCTCTCCCTGGCTTGTAGGTGACCATCTTTCCTCTCTGCACATTGTGCCCTAATCTCTTCGTGTAAGGACGCTGTCACATTGGATTAGGGCCCCCCATATGACCTCATTTAACTGTAATTGCCTCTTTAAAAGCCCTGTCTCCAAATGCAGTCATGCTCTGAGATATCTGAGGTTAGGACTTCAACATGTGAATTTGGGGAGGGATACAACTTAGGTCATAACAGGGGCTAAGGTGGAGTACTTAAACAATGGTTTTCTAACAATGCTCTGAGGTGGCCACAGAGATGAGAGTGACAGACTATCTCAGTTTGCCCAGTTCTGAGAGGTTTTCCAGGGTACAGGACTTCCAATGCCAAAACCAAGATAGTCCCAAGCAAACCAGGATGGTCGGTCACCCAGTCTGTCTCCTGCAGGAGGAGCCCAGGGCTGGCACTTGGTTCTCCCACGTGCCTCAGACAGAGCTGTGCTGCTTCTCAGCTTATATATATCAGCAACCTGAGATTTAATTAAACAAAAGGATTTTGTGGCCAAAATCGTTAGAAAACCACTTGATTCAGTTGCTTCCAGGGTCCTCTCCCATTGCCATACTCTTATGATTTAATTTCATTAGCACACACCAAACTCCAGCCATTTGTTTAAAACTGTTAACTGATTAGAGCAAAATCAATTTGCTTCTCATTTAGACTGTGGCCAAAAGTGAAATTAAGCAGAGCAGGCCGCTTTTGAGCCTTGGCTGTTCTGAAGCAGAACTCGGTTCTGTGCTTTTTTGATGGTGGATGACCCTCACGGAACATGTCTTCACTGTGCTTGCTTTATTTTATCATCTCATAATCCTTCCAGCAGCAATGTGAGGTGGGTTGCATCACAAATAGCAGCAGCCCCCCGATGCAGATGGAGAAACTGAGGAGCAGAAAGATTAGTAAGTAGCCCTTATCTCAGGGCTGATTAGGGCAGGGCCAGGATCATACAGGCAGTTTGACTTGAGAGCTACTGTGTCATGGCACTGAGCTCAGGTGCAAGTGTCCCTGCTTGTAGGGGAACAGGGGCTGTACTGGTAAGTGTAAAGGAATTCCATCTAGGTTGATGGGCCAGATTGTTCTCTCCAGTAGCCTCCCCTTTCCCACCTAGCCTGTCAGGATTTGACCAGCACCCCTGGCTGGTCCTGCTTTTTGCTATTGTAGAAGCCATGCCTAGAACAGTTCTCAAGGTATCAAGAAGCTTTGGGGATCTCTCAATAAGAAACACTGAATTGCATAGTGACTAAGTTATTCCCTTGCTAATTCTTTTTCAGGTCTTATGATGATGTTAAGGGAAATGCTAGTGTTTAATTCCTCCTTAGCACTCAGTAGTCTCTCTTTTTCAGAAACTCTCTATTATTTTTAGTGTAATCATCTTTTTGTGGTTAATTTTGGTATATGGTAAATGATACTGGTTTTGCATTTAGGGTAGTGATACAAAGCACCTTTAAAAGACATTTATATAAAAAGGCAAATAGTTTAAACATATTTAGTAACTAATAGCAAAAGAAAGTGATGTACAGATATGGCAAAAATTGTGAAGCATGTGGTGAGAAAGATTGATTTCATGAAACACACTGGCTAGGAGGAAGGGTTAGAGTTCATTAGAATCTTGGAAGGAGCAGATGAAAGGCGGTGTTGTCTGACCAGAGACATCTCGGGGCCAGTGCCTTGGCCCAGGGCTTCCAGGGTGCTGGGTGCTGTGGGCCCTTTGGAGCCTGGTGCACCTGCCATGTGGACTCTGGAAAGACAAGTTCCCCTCCAGCATCAACCCCACGATCACTGGGATTTTGTTTTGTTTTGTTTTGGTAATAGATTTCAGCATCTTTGAAATGTCCCCGTCAGAAAGGGTAAGGATAAAAAGTGGATTCTTGTGCCAGGTCAGAAGGCTGTGCCTTGGGAGAATGCAATCTAGAAAATAATTAGAATTAGAGGTGCAAATTAGAATGCCCAGCATGAGGCAGAAGTGTTTGCCCTGGGCGGACACCCAGCCTGTGTATGGGGATTGGGTGCCTTGACTCTTGCTATTGAAGCCTGGTGGCCTGTATTCTAGAGTCAGAAACAGATGGGTTGTGACCGTTCATCCAGCCTGGGAGCAGCCGAACTCGAAGTGGCTTTTTCATGGATCAGTCTTGCATGACTTGGTTTACCTGCCCACTTTGCTGCTGGACCAAAAGTACTTAAACTTCAGGGGCATTGTCCTTTTTAAACAGGCAGTGAGTTTGCAGCTCCTGGTTGACTACTCAGTATGATTCCCACACTAGACTGTTGCTTATGGACAGGGTCTGATCTTGACTAATCCTTGCAGGACCCAGGACTTGGTCAGAAATGAATGTTGTGCCTGACTAAATGCCTGGTACAGGTCCCAAATCATCCTTCCTAGCAGCCCAGACTTTGCACACAGAAGTTGGAGTCTGGCTCCCAGTAACCATCGAGGAAGCATGGTCATAGTTACCATCACCTGGGCACAATGACTTGGACCTTTGGCTTCCAGACACTTCCTCTGGAGGCAGCGGCCGTTGCCACTCAGCAATCGAGAGTGACAAATGTCTGCTCATGACTGGGTATCCACTTTGGCCCTTTTACTCCCTCTTGCAGTGTTTTTATCAACTCCCCTTTTAAAAGATGTTGTGGAGCCATGTTGCTTACCCTCCTGCCTTCTACCTCATCTCTTAAGGAGGCGTCAAAACCCGTTTAAAAAAATCTTCTTAAAATAGGAGGGGAAAGTGAAAAAGTACCATGAGGTTGCTGGTAAAGAAATTGACAAATTCTCGCTTTGAAAGCCCACCACCCCCAAAGATCCTGTGATCTGTCGCACATAACAAACTTTTCTTCTCACCAGGAAACATCTGTATGGATTGTTCCATTACAACCCCACGATGCTTGGACTTGAATTGCTTCCAGATCCCACAGATACCTGGGAAATTATCGAGACCATAGGTAAAGGCACCTATGGCAAGGTCTATAAAGTGAATAACAAGAGAGATGGGAGCTTGGCTGCGGTAAAAATTCTGGATCTAATCAGTGTAAGTAGTGGTGGTGGATTGCAACGATACAGTTGATCCTTGAGTAACACAGGTTTGAACTTTATGAGTCCACGTATAGGCAATTTTTTTCAATAAAAACAGTATGGTACTTGTAAGTTTATTTTCTCTTCCTTATGATTTTCTTAAAACCTTTTCTCTAGCTTACTTACAATATATAATACATGTAACATATAAAATATGTGTTAATCAACTGTTTATGTTATTGGCAAGGCTTCCAATCAACAGTAACCTATTAGTAGTTAAGTTTGGGGGGAGTCAAAAGTTATACATGGATTTTTGACTGTGTGGGGTGTCTATGCCCCAGCCTCTGAATGTTCAGAGGTCAACTGTATACCATTGTACATTGACTTTCAACTTCTTTCCTTGCCCTAGGATAATTTTCATGAAAGCTGCCATGAAATCTCCAAACGAGTCATGATCTATCAGCTTGTCTGAGTGGACTCAATTTGGAGTCAAAACTTTTCTTGGCTGTCTGTTTCTTGTCCATTTTGCTGTTGGTTTTGGTCCTCTGGGCTCTTCAGAAGTGATTCTTTTGGAAAGAGTGATTTATTTTGCTCCCTGGGCTCACACAGAGGCTGGCCTCTCTGTAAGTTTCAAAGTGACCCAGACTTGCAGTATTCAATCATCTTAGCCTGGCCTCTTGTTTGAGAACAGTGATGACGCTGGACACTGTTTTGCACAGTGAGATTATAGGCCCTGTTGGGTCCCTTAAAGCTACTTCTTAAAAAATTCAAACATTTTTAAGTAAAAGAAGATATTTATAATAGTATTGTTAAAGAAAATGTACAGTAAATTCATATTATTGATACAATAATTAGAAAAGTTTAATTGAGATCTGAGTTCCACTGTTAGGTATTTCCAGGATACAGCAATGATGACATTAAAATGCACAATAAACATGCTTTATTAAGTGTTACTTGATTAGGATGTCATACCTGTACTCTTTTTCACACATGAAACCTAATCCAGCATGCATCTTTTATCCTGTGTAGGATATGGATGAAGAGATTGAGGCAGAATACAACATTTTGCAGTTTCTTCCTAATCATCCCAATGTTGTAAAGTTTTATGGGATGTTTTACAAAGTGGATCACTATGTGGGAGGACAGTTGTGGCTCGTCCTGGAGGTAAGAGGCTTGGCCCCTGTTGGATAACCATCCATTCAAACACAGCACCAGCAGTAAGCAGATGTGATGTTGCCTAAATCGTGTAAGATACACACTTGAGGAGTCAATTCCTCCTGTCTATCTTAGGTACCTTACCAGACGTGGTGTTCTCTTTCACAGTTCTTACAAATAGGCTGTGTGCTGAAAATGTTCATGTTTCTCTGCTTCAAAAGTTAATAATCATTCTTCCAATACAGAGTGCACATAGAAATACTGTTGGAAAAGGTTATTTTCTTCCTTAAACTTTGAACATTTTATAGAAAACATGTTCCAATTGATTGCAACCTATTTTCAAAAATTGCTAGCCCAAGGTTTACTTGTCTCACCAAGTTTGGATTAGCCCATTCATGTTTATTAATCCTTATCTTAGATTGTATTCCCTGAATATGGACTCTGAGAGTTGTTTATGGCAGGTTTATTGGGAAGTTCTTGCAGGAGATAGACTGGAAGGAAGTGAGAGGTCAGGATTGGGCAAGGGAGACAGTGAACAGCCATACGGTTACAGAAGAGGCCTCAGCCCATCCTCAGGGAGATGGAGAGCTGTGATGCTCTTGCAGAGCCGTTCTGGATTGAATCTCTGCATCAGCCAGTTATGGCTGTGTGTCACCGTGGGAGGAAGTGTGACCTCGGGGGAGACAGCATTGTGTAGCTGGGGTCAGTTCCTAGTGTGAGGTGCTGCTGGGAGTTGCAAGCGGGGAGCAGCCAATATGCCCAGCAGTATCTGCTCTAACGAGGGAGCACCACTGTATATCCACTGCAGTCCTACCCCTTTTCTCCTTTATTAATGGGCATGAGTATGTGTACCTGGTTGGAAAAGAGTCAGTTTCCCACAAATCCAAATCTCATGGGACTAAAATGGCAGACACACAATAATGACAATATATGACATTAGTATATTAAGAGAGGTCTATTGCTTATGCTCACCAGGCCCATGCGGATTTGTTCTGGACTCCATCCTGCTGAACCAGCATAGATGTCTGTGCCTGAAGTCACAAATGCAGTGGATGCATGTGACAGCCTCAGAGAGAAGCAGCAGAGGAGAGCCAGGCCTCAATTCTCTGTCTGGGGCCTCTTTTCTGAATCTTTCACTTGGTGGGAGGGCCTGGGTAAGGGATGGCGTAATTTATGTGTGTGTGTGTATGCATTTTTTTTAAACCAGATCTGTTTTATTTCCTTGAGATCTATGTATAAGTTCAATAAGCTGGGTTGGGGAGTGGGGAGACACTTTTGTGCAGTCTTTGCTTTCATTCAAGACCTTAGAAAGTCCAGTACAGACCTGAATATCGTTGCAAGTGTTAAACTTTAAGCCATTTTCACTCACTGATAACTGTGGCATGAATCAGATTTATCACATTAATAAATCAGGGTCATAACAGAACTCTGATGGTCTGAAAACTTACATAAGACAATCAACATGAGAGTTGATTGGCCAGAGACAATCAGAAAGCACTGACTCAGACATCAGGTCTGGCAGGGTTATAGCATGAGTATCACTGGAGTCCCCAGGAGTCAGGAGGAAGGTGCCGAACATTTGAGAGTGAAGAAGAGATGAATTTTGCAGTGGGATGAGTTTTTTCCCATGTAAATGTGCTATGTGTTCACCAAAAGCAAGGAGAGTGTTAGCAGCTGCGGGGTGGGAGCAATTCCTCCTACACAGTTTTCATTCTTCTAGGTGCAGGCTTCAGCTGCTATCAGCAAAAACCTGCAATGTGTCCCAACAGTGTAGAGGAAAAATATGTGTTCTGGCCTTATGAGAAATCGACAGTGTTCAACATAGTGCTTCCTCAGGCATCATCTAGAGTAATTTTGATGATTCTTGACTTTTGCTTTATGCTGTCTGTGGAAGCCATCACCTTGGAAGTAAAGGCCACCGAACAAAAGAGCACTGAGAGGATAATCCCCGTAGTTACACAGTCTAACTAGGTCAAATCAACATGCCAGTGTAGAATCTACATGAAATTTGGAAATTAGACTAGAATAAAATTCTAGTGATTGTGTTTCATGAGCCATTCTTTAATAATGTGGAAGAAAACTGATGGTTTATTGAGAAGGAACATTTTATTCCTTGAAATTATGACCATCTTATCAAATATACTGTGATTTAATCAATATTCAAAAATGGTTTGGAAAATAGATGTGGCACATAAATAATTTTTCTGTTTCTTGGTTTGGAGCAAAATGCTCATTAAATTCTAGATGCATCCAGCTGCCACATTTCCTGAATGCTGAGGGTGTAGGGAGGAATGCAGGGATGGAGCACACTTCTGTATTTGCATTTAATGCTGGCAGCGAGGGTGGGAATAAAAGCGTGTGCTGATGCTCATGCACAGTGCACAAGGCTTGCTTGCCTTCCTAAAACTCTAAGAAGATTATTTAATTTGATGCATTTAAATAGAATTCCTTGCCATGCTTTAAAAATGTTCAGTCCATTTCACTGAACATTTACCCTGGTTAGACAATTGTCTGTGTGTACCTGCTTTTCTTTTTTATATCCAAGTACCCCAAATCCTTGCTCTGTAACCCACAAGCTGGCCTTTAGAACTTCGCTGGTGGCTTTTCAACTTCACAAGACAGCTTCCTCTAAAGGTGCTCTGAGCAGTTTAATTACATGTTTTATGAATCACAAGAAGTCAGAAAGCTCTTAAACTCCAGCATTTAGTGAAGAAAAGGCACCAACTGAGTAAGATGTTTTTGTTGTTTTCAAATCCACAGCTGAGTTTTGATCCTGCTTACAAAAATGACTGCTCTTAATCCTTCATAGATTCTAGAGCTATGAAAAAATTTATGTAAGTTGGCTGCTGGTACAAATTATTGCCAAGTAGGCTGCTATTACAAACATGGCCACACTTAAATAGGGCAGGAGAGAGATTAAAATGAGGTTTCAGGGGAAAATTCCAGGGCTGAGTTAGCTTGGATCGTCACCCAGCATTTAATTTAAGATTTCCTCTCAGTAGAATTTTAATGCCACACTCGGAATTTATTCAAGCATGTGCCTCCCCGACATGGGAGCCAGGCTGCGGAGTGGTTCTTCTGGTGGAGGTGTTGTAGTGCCTTGCAGTCCTATTACTGCTTTGGCATCAGAGGATCAAAGCACTTTATTGATATTTCCCTTATTCACACAAGTTCCCTAGACTCTGTCTGTTCTTCACTTTTTATATCCAGTTGGCCAGAAATTCCTGTCGAGTCTCTCTCATAAAAGCCTCCCATATCTGTCCCCAACTCTTACTCCTCATGACTCTTGACTTTTTTGATCCTTCCTCACCTAACTGCTTCACCACCTCCTAACAGGTGTGCAGCTGCTGGTGTTTTCCTATTCTTTTCACCCTCCAACGTGCTGCCTTAGTCTTCTTCCCAGAACACAAATCTGAAAGAGACCTCCTGCCTAAAACGTGTCAATTGCTTTCCATTCCTATCTACTGGTGCATTACGGTATTAAGCACACGTGTATGGGAAGAAAGCTCCTTAGTGGGGCACACTTGTCTTTCCCTCTCTTCTACCTTCCTTCCCCATCTCCCTGCCTAGGAACCTGACACCCTTTGTGCTGACGGCAGCAGAGCATTCAGAATTCATAGTCACACATGCTCTCACCGTCCCCAACACTCACACTCTCCCTCTGCACATCCCTCATTCTTTAGTGCTCTCTTCATTTGCACACGATGCTCTTTTCCAGTGATGCCCTTCCCTTTCTGTCCATCTGCAATAAACTCATTTGCCCCTTAAACTCGTTATAAATATTTTGCCCTCTGGGAAGATTTCCGGGGCTGTCCCCTCTTCACCTGCCTCAGCTAAGTCCCCGCCCCCTCTTCAGGACCAGCATGCTCCCTCCGGCACAGTGCCTGCCACATGCTTTGCTCTCATTACTCCCGTGTCCCTTACTGATGACAAGCTCTTTAAAGACAGGGACTGTGTCATATTCATGATTGAGTAATGGGTAATAGAATGGACAGTCACAAACCATTGAGAACACAGAGGTAACTTTCTTTTCAGTAACTGCACTCAACTTCGTTCTTGAGGCCCCAGCCTGTCTAGAGGAGACAATTGATTTTTAACTCATTCTGTTAAGCTTAGTCCAATTAACTGACTTGTTTGGTAGGGGCAAACTCTAGTACTTATAATCCCATTTTCTTAGTCCAGTTAAAGCTGTCATTTGGGCAAGACTTAGTTATTTTACGGCCTCTTTTTTCCCTTGTCCTATCCCCTTCTGCGGTAGCGTCTGGATCTGGGTACAAGCAGGTGCTTATGTAAAGCCATGACACTGAGGGTAAGGGCTTTGAACTGTGGTGACCCCCAAGTCCTTTGCTAGCTCCCCATGTCACTGGTCCCTGATACTCCTTCCTATCACTGAAATCCTCCCTCTCTTTGTCCTTCTCATTCAAACTGTAGCCCCGTCCCTGTCCCAAATGGAACATTAAGTTCTGTTATCTCCAGCTTCATGAGCAAACTGAAGAGAACTATTAAAACCCCAGGCTTGGTCGGTCTCCCTACACAACGCTGCCATTTCCATGCAGCACAGACACCCCTTCGTTGGCGTAAGGCTCCTGCAAGGAGGTCTCCCCTTAGATCTCCAAATCACAGTAGTGTCATAAAGAAACTGAAGTTTCTATTATCATTACCTCCTTATACAGACCTCCCAAAAGTAACATCATCACTCTAACACTTTTCTCTCTAGCTTTCCAAGCTGCATGCCACCAGCCCCAGAGGGCTCTTGTTTTTGTGGATGGAGAAGTTCCCTCATGTCATGTGCTGTGCTCTTCCATGATCATCATTTGTGGTCAATTCTCCAGTTTTTGTTCCTTGAAATGTAGAATCTAGATTGGGGAGTCCTGAATAAATTACTTTTTGAAAGCTTAGCTTGTAAGACTGTACTAATCATGGCATGGAAAATGCATTCACTGCTCAAGATTGTATCAGATTGAACATTAAATGTTATATGCCCTTTCAGAGTCATGTAAGACATTGTTAGGGTCAAAAGAATGGGAATCCTGGTACTCAGTGTTAGGGCTATCAGAGTGATTGGTGTTGATACCAATTACACCTGACATTGGTAGAGATTAGATACCAAGGACACTTTACATAATACCAAACTCATAGGACCAACAGAGACTTAAGTACTTTTCACTGCTTCCAGGGTCTCTCTTAAATCATTCCTGAGACATAGTGATTTTATCCCAGTTTTAAAAATTGGTAGTTCTATATTAGATTGTTAGTCACATACTGTTCTTATGAGCAACTTAAGTGGTAAAAAGATGGGCAGATTCAGTTCCAGGTTACCTTGATTGTTAATGGATGTGCAAGGTATCTGCCATGCATGTAGCAGGGAATGATACGCACATCAAATAAAAACATCTGCTCAACCTTTATTAAAATGTTGCAGATGCTCATAATTAGAGTCAAATAGATCCTAATGTATTATTGTCTTGATAAAGAGTTGTCTTCTTTTAGGAAGGTGCTAATCTATGCTCCCTCAGGTTTCCTTCCTTTTGAAAAGCCAAACTGACTCAAGCAATCACAACACAGGGTACCCTAACTGTTTACTAGTAACTCTTTCCTAAATTATAGACAAAGTGCCAGAAGGAAACCTAGGTCTCTAAAGCAGTGTCTTAACTGCTGAAAGGACAAGGAAGTTTCTGAGAATCTGATGAAAGCTCCAAATTTTCTTGGCAGAATAATGCAAGATGCAAATGCTGTGTGCTGTGTGCAGTTTCAAGGTGTTTAGATGTCCTCTCAAACCAGTGAAGAAGCCTTGATTTAAGATGGCGTGTAGCAACCCCAAACCTGCACATTGACTTCTGCAGTTAGTAAAAATCATATCTGAAAAACCTTAAATTGCCTAATTGAGGAGGTATAGCATAACTGGTTTATGTACTCTCAAATCTCAGTAATCTACAATAGACAACAAACAGCAAATATGCAAGATACACTTTTACAGTGTTTTTAATTACAGAGCAAAAAGCACATAAAGTTGCTGAATACCTAAAGTTGAATATCTGAAAAGGTTAAGTGCACATGATCCAAGTGCGTGCCATGAATTGACGTGCAATGGCAGCTAGAAAGAGCGGCCGATTGAGCTTCTGATGCCTGCAGTGCCAGCTTGGGGACAGGAAGGTTTGAAATGAAGTTTATTCCCTCCCAAGTATCAAGAGCACTTGCCTTGCCTCTTCCAGTGTTTATCCTCAAAATGCCACATTAAAAAAAAATAAACAATATTCATGTAAAATGAAAAATATCCAGTAAGTCACCATGGTTACTTACATGTTTTCCCTTTTCAAATTTCTAAATAACAACTTACGCTTTTATATTTCACTTGACTGTTAAAAAAATCAATTTTGGGGACATGGGCTTTCACTCATAAATCATCTTCTTGAATAAATACACACACACATAGAACTAGATTGACTATAATGGAAATTTGAAGTTTATTTTGATCTGGAGTTTTGTGATCTTGATCTGCAAAATTTACATTAGGTCAGAAGCCAGTGGGCTTTTCTTGTTAACATCTTTTTCTTTTCTTTTTCTATGTGTTCTCTTGCTCTCTCTCTCTCTCTCTCTCTCTGGCACCTTTTGCAGCTGTGTAACGGGGGCTCAGTCACTGAGCTTGTCAAAGGTCTACTCAGGTGTGGCCAGCAGCTGGATGAAGCAATGATTTCCTACATCCTATATGGGGCCCTCTTGGTAAGAACATCCATCAAGCTGGGGATGACAGCAGGGGGGGGCAATTTGTCACCAGTTGTATCTCCATTACATATTAACAAGAGGAAACTGCCCTACAATATACAAGGGGAATAACAGCAGGGAGGTGTAGCCAAATGTGGTCTATGATTAGATCTTTAATAGTAGCTTAATTGTTTTAAAATAACTGCAAATTTTCCCTTTCTTTTTTCTGTTGTTTGGTGATGGTGGGACACCGTGTAGGGCCTTCAGCATTTGCACAGTAACCGAATCATCCACCGAGATGTCAAGGGGAATAACATTCTTCTGACAACAGAAGGAGGAGTTAAGCTCGTTGACTTTGGTAATGACTGCTTGGCGTTTGTTTTCTTGATGTGTACAGTTTAGCCAAAGGCGACAATTACGGGGGTGGGGGGGCGGTTGGGGCCTGGAGAATTTTCCAGTCATACACAGGCAGGAGAGTAGGGGGGATTCACCAGATGGATCACCCCGGGAGATGCAGCTTGTTAATCTCTTTTCAGCTTTAGAAGCAATTTTATTAAAGATAGAAAATAAAAGTGTTTCAAAAGAAGAATTTGAGTTTTCTGGAAAGAATTTCACATCTCAAGGCAATTGTCTATAATTTACATTTTGTCATTTCCTGTTTTGCATATGAAAAGAAAAAGCAGTTTGGTTTTTTAAATGAGTTTGTTTAGCCTTAGGCATACTTATTCCCAGTGAGCAGAAGGTAAAATAGTCCTTCTTGTCGGGGAGCTAATATCCCTTTAAATTGTGATTTTTGCTGCAACTTGTGAGGCTGGTTGAACGGGAAACATTAACAGGAAATGAAAGTGTGAGAGGAAATGCAGACCAGTATCACATAAGGCTGGAGAACTACTAAATATTTCCTTACAACACTCATGTATTGATATTCACAAGCCAAAAAACCATTTGGTTTTGTTTTTTAAGTTTATTGAATGGGTTAATCTTCTAAATGAATTCAGCAATAGTACTTGAGCATGGTTGTTACAAATAACGAGAAAACATTTACAGAAACACTTTTTAAAATGTACTTTATCAGTGTCAGCCTAGTAGGAGAAAAGATTGATGATTTTGAATGTTCATTGTTTTATTGGTAAGAAATAATTCATTTTGAAAATGTATCAGTGAATCATTTGCTCAAAAGAAATTACTCAAAAACAAATGAAGTTACTTCAGGTATTTGGTCTATTTACTAAAGAACAAAGAAAAAGGGCAGAGGGGTACTCTGTTCAAGTCTTATGCTCTTTTTTCTATATAATGAATGGTATAAACTACACAAATAGGCTGTGTGTATAACATCAGAGATGTATTTTCCACATGCTCCTGGGGACAGTGAATATGCTGTGAGGGAAAGAGCTAAGAAGGATGAGGATGGGGATTAATAATGACCTATCCACTCACCAACTTTCTGATTTGGTGTGAGGATAAAGGCTCCTAATCTTTCCAGTAGAAGGTTCTTGAATTTCCAGTTGCTAAAAAAGAGATTTCTAGAAGTTAAAAACAAAAATATTGTTATTTTTTGCCAAAATTGTAGTGGAAGACTTGGTAAAATAGAAAATCATCCATGGCCAACAGAATTCAGAAAGCAGTCTTTGGCTTCCTAATTGAAAGGAAAGGAGCGACACATAGCAGCAATTCACCGGAGAGTTCCGCTTTATTAGGGAAAGGTGCTGGGTTATATAGGAGGGGGCATGATTGATTGAGGTGTCACTTCTACGGGGCTGGTGGCTGTTGGCTAGGTGCTGGGATTGGGAGGGGGGCAAGAGGTGATTGGGCTTCAGGTGGCGCCGGCGGGAACTGAGGACCCCGAAGAGAAGCCGGAAGTTTGCCATCTTACTGGTGGGGACCCTTCACTAATGAAGAGAATGTAAGCTGCTAGCAAAACTACTCCCCCAAACTATCCATGGGTCCTTAACAAACCCACGGTCTGATATTTTCAAAGGTGTGTCCTTTGCTAATGAGCACACCATACACTAATGAGTATCCAGATTTCTAAGTTCTTGTCATCAACAGCATTAGTGGCAGTCCCCATCATTCTTTTAAATGCTTTAGATTTCTGCTTGGTATAAAGGAATACCTTAAATGCTTCAAACACTTACAATATATAAATCATTTTCACACTTGTTCTTTTATCTGATTCTTAAGAAGTACCTTCTGTGTTAGGTCTGACAGGTATCATTATCCCCAGTTCAAAAGACAGAAAACTGAGGCTCAGAGCGAGGTGGTCTGCTCCAGGTCCATACAATTAGGAAAAGGCATAATTGGGTTGGAAAACTGGTCTTCTGACTCCTAACCCAGTGCACCTTTACTTCCATTTTATTTCCTTGTGATATAAAGAAGAGAGCTGGTTAAAGATTAAGGCAGTTAAAGTGCATTAGAATCATATTAAAATTCTGGTGCTCAACATTGAGCCCTAGATAATAATATTATTAGTCAATTTCTTTTTCCACTTGACAACATAGTTTTCTTGCCAGGTTTCCAGGCTTTTAGGTAAGATAAGGCACTGAAAACTTTTTATGTTTACACTGATGCTCTATTAAAGTTAATACATGCCACTATTTCAACCCATTAAAAGAAGCACAAGAAAGAAGTCATCTGGAATATTTTGGAAATGTAATAGGAAGATATTTTGGGTTGATCCTAGTTTTCTTTTGATTCCAGTTTTGGGCAATATGGATGGGAATGTTCATTAGAAAGAAATACTCTAGTGATTTAGATACAGTGATAAATGCCCCCACATAGCAGTTGGCAAACTATGCCTGTCAGCCAAATTTGACCTGCCTCCTGTTTTTGTATGGCCTGTGAGCTAAGAATGATTTTACATTTTTAAATGGTTGGAAAAAAATCAAAAGAAGAATATTTTTATGACACACGAAAATTGTATGCATCCATAAATAAGCTTCCATGGAAACACAGCCACACTCATTGGTTTCTGTGTTGTCTGTGGCCACTTTTGTGCTACACAAAGCCTAAAATATTTACTACCTGGCCGTTTACGGAAAAAGTTCACCATCCTCTGCTCACTGCCGAACTATGACATCCTTTTCTTATAGGTGTCTCAGCTCAACTCACCAGTACGCGTCTACGGAGAAACACATCTGTGGGCACCCCATTCTGGATGGCCCCTGAGGTAGGCCGAGGGCCTCTGTCCCTGTGTGTGTGCTGGGCGCCTTGGTGCTATGCCTTTTTATGGGATAGTCATATGCCTCACAGAATGTTCAAGAAGAAGAAAATCCTTTATATTCATTGAACTGTAAGATTTCTGGTTTGGTGAGTGATAATGATGACACATAATCTCAGAAAAGCAGAATTAAATCACGGCTAGCCCATAGAATACTTTCAGGCAGTTGGAAAAAGGTGCCTCTTCCAGTAGATGGAGCCCTCTCCAAAGGTCATGACTTGGCAAGTCCATGGTAGTCACAACTACTACCACGCCATGGGGTGGCCTAGTTCTCTCTAGCTTTTGCGTAAATTAGAAAAAAAACATCTTCCCTGGATAGAGGCAGCCCCACTTGCATGTGGCTTGGTGATGAGACATTTCAACTCCAACTAGCCTGCCAAACTACATGCAGCGGTCCTAGTTGTTTTCTTATTACTAGGTATTCAGCAACTTCTCTTGTGTGCTTTATTGGCTCTCTAGTAAAACCTGGGATTTGGTCCTAATTTAGTTCTGGCATTATCACAGAACCCTCTATGAGATGATGCATGTAGAAGTTTGGGGGGTCTCCCAGCTGCGTAAGGCATACCCTGAAACATAGGTTCAATTTTGCTTGTCAGGTAGCATTTAATTCCACAGTACTCTGGCCTGTGCCTGAGAACAACTCTCTGGGATTAAGCAGATGGGTTCATTTAAGAGGAGGGACTCATGCAGTCATCTCCTTAGAGGTCTTCTCATCTGTGTTCTGTCCCCACAGCCGTCCTTCCTCTGTGTGACTGCCCAGGTGGTCTACTGACACAGAGATCAGTTCATTCCAATCTGCTCAAAGTTCTTTAATGGCTTCCCATTGTTAATGAGTCTTTCCTACCTGGGTAACATACAGACCCACTTTCTAGCAAATGAAAAACGCTGAAGAACTCAATGTTTGCTTAAACATTAAATGCTCCTTAAATAGGTTTTTAAAAAACATGAAAATAGTCATAAACTCCCTTGTATTTATAGAACTATGAAACTGAAAGGAAAAAATGTATTATGAAAAAACTATAAAACCAGGAATGTTCAAGTAAGTACCTTTAATTTAATGACACCAATGACATTGTTTTGTGAAACTAGATTGTCCTTTGCACTGTGAATATGTTTCACAGCATGACAGCATGGATTACTTGGAGTAGTCATGCTGACTACCATGTACCACGTGGTGACCTGTTCTCCCTCCACTTTACCCACTTTATATCCTGCCTGTAGCATCTCCTTTGGCCTCTAATTTGGCACATCTCTGTTGGCATAGTGCCAACTTAATAAAAGACATAAATATGGGCACTGAAACTGTGTGGGAAATGGTGATTAAGATTATCAGGAATACATTTTATCACTATTCTTCCCATTTTATTATTATTAATAAAATTATCATTGAAACAAAAACAGGGATTTTGTGAACCCCAGTTTGAGAAACACTGTAGGACAGACTCAAAAGTCTTTTGGATGGTAAACAAAGCCTTCTTATTTCAGTCCCTGTCTGTCTGTCCAGTCTCATCTCAGGTTACTTTCCCCCAATGTACTTGTTCTTAATGCCTCAGCAGTAGTGAGCAACAGATAAATCTCCATATCTATCCTTAAGCCCTTTCCCTTAAACCCTTTCATGTACTGTTATGCTGTGTGGAGTGGCCCTGGAATATTGCTCCTCCGTCTTCAAGCCTCAGCTCAAATGTATCTCCCCTAGGAAAACTTTCCTAATCCCTGACCAACACTGACAGTCCTATCCCTAGGTGTCCACTACAGCCTTCACACCCACCATTAGCATACCATGAGATTGTATTGTAGTTGTCGGCAGGCAAGTCTCCCCACTGACTCAGCTGTAGCAGAAATTCGGGGTGCCCCGTCTGCAGCATAGGTGCTCAATAAGCACCTGTTGGATAAATGAGTCTATTGGTAAAAAAGCCAAAGAAGAAAATTAATTTGGAGGGTAGTTTGAGGGAGGCTTTACAACTACCAGCATTAGCAAATTTCTCTGTGGATTTTGATTGATCTGTTATTAAAGGAAAGCATCACTGAGGCCACTCAACTCCTACTGGAGTGGCATATCATGGAGGATGGGGCACCTGTTCTGATCCACAGTAAGCTGGTGTTCTCCGAACCACAGAATGTAAATAAGACATGCCTGCCCTTGGCTTTGTATGTTTCTTATGAGGTGTTTGTGACTTTTCAATTTCATCTGGAATGAGTAAAATATGTGCAGTGTTTCTATAAGGGGGCAGTTTAATGGTCTGTGGTGAGTTTCTACTGCCCAGATTGCCTAGAACTGGTTCACTTCATGGCAGGGAAGAGCCTCCATCACATCCTGCCTGCTGTAGTGGATCCACTGAGAAGTAGGCAGGTCACCGTACGGGGACCTTGACAGTACTTTCCAGGAGCAAGTGCCTGATTGTTCTATGCCTCCCTCCAAGATTCTGTCATGGAGTGTGCTTGTGTCTAAATGTACCGGGATGCAGGCTGCAGTTCTTGGGACACAAGCCTACACATTTCTCAGGTTCTTATTTTCCAAATGGAGAATTACTCTTTCCAACAGAGCCTCTTTTCATTCCATAATTCTCCATAAGGATGTCCACAGGCACACTCTTCCATTTGTCAGTTTGATTCAGCAAGCATTTATACTCTCCCCTGTGAGTAAGGCTTTAGGTCAAGAGCAATCTTTGAAAAGGTACAGTCAGTAATTGTTTAAATGAACATTGTCTTCAGCTGATGGTCTATGTAGTAGATTGATCTTAATATGCTTTCATTTCTGCTTGCATTAATAAGTGGGATTTGGATTAATTATGACAATAGTGTATGCAGTGCCTATGCCAGTGGAATAAAACCATTTCAGGCAACCAGTGCTTTCATTTTGAAAATTCAGCCAAAAGATCCTTGATCTCATTGTATTTTTGAGAAATGGAACCAAATCATTATTTTCCCAGTTTAATTTCCATTTTTATTTCACCAGCTTGAGTGACTGAAATATGTAATTCAAACAGACTGTACTACAGACCAGGTAGCTTGTGGAACGTGGCCACACCGCAACCAGCTGTTGGCAGAGGAGCCCAGGCACAGCTCACTGGGCAGTCTGAAGCTGCATGGGAGCTGACTGCTGTACTGTCAGCACTCCTCCCTTATTTCCTCTCACTGTCTCATTTGGACACTATTAAAGGCGAAAAGTACTGCGTAAAGGTGGTGTCAACTCAGTGCTGTAGGAGAAAGCAGATTCTGAGGGGTGGCCTTAGCGGGATCGCACTCTGAAACAATGCAGCCCATGATACAATTCAGCCCATAATACCCTGCCAAATACTTAACACCCCTTCCCTATAATATAATTCAAGTTTCCAAAATAATCAACCAGTCATTTGGAACCTACAGGCATTAGCTTAGAAAGGGCAGTCTGCATATTACAGGCATTAGCTTAGAAAGGTCAGCCTTGCCTGGCTACAGCCCACTTCCCCCCAGCGCACACACATACACATTGTTCTCTCTCAGCCTCAGGTGTCTGAGGTAAACACAGTTCTTTCTGGATGTACCAAGCATAACAAATTGTCTTCCCACATGGACCCTCTGACACTTTCAGAATTTTATTTGTACAACTTGTTCAGTGTATAAACATTTTTCTGATTCCTGAGATGTTTGGCCCAGGTAACTTCCCTCAACCTTCTGTTTACATTGAGCCTCTGGTCTCCTGCTTGTGACTTTAGCCTGTAGCTTAAATGTGTGTGGGTAGTTATTTTTGACAGTCTTCCCTTTGCCTATGTTTACTGTCTCTTTTCTCCTCCACTGGCTCCTGACAGCATATTTCTTAAGTAAGTAATATGAATAATAGTATCTCACATTTGCACAGAAATTTTACAAGTATTGTTATCTTTTAATGCTATACTTACCTGTGAGGATGCTTCTTAGGCAAGACTACATTGATTTTATAGACAAGGAGTCCAAGACTCTGGCAGTGCCCAGGAACACTGAGTGGGCAGCAGGGCAACAGTGACTGGAATCTGTATGTTGTGACTCACTGAACTAAAGGATTTCCAGTACATCCCATACCCACTGTCAATACTGGTATTGCTAACCTAGTATTTGCATAAGGCACACTCCAGGTAATATACTGGTCTATAGCAAAAAGGGATACAAACCTAATGTATGTTTACATGTGGTGATAGCAGGGGGTTAGTAGCAGTTGATCCTTAATCTACCTTTTTCACCAACATACATAGCAAAGAATTAACTGAATATCTGTAAATGACTGAAACCCAAGAAAAGGAACCCAGGTCATCATCACTATTTTTATGAGGACATTTGTGGACTATGCTAAAATAATGCCTTGTCGTTAGGTAGTATGCACTAATGTGGCCATTCTGATTGTTAAAATATTAAAACATTATGTTGTGGGCAGTAAGTGGCTGCCACCCTGAGCCCCCTGAATGCTTCCTGGCCACTAGAGGTGCGTCATTCTCCGGGACACCCCAGATCTCCTTATAGCCCAGGAATGATAGGGGTTGGTGTCTGGCAAGCAGGGAACCTCAAGGGCCAGCTCCAGGGCCATAAGGTAGCTGGTTGCTGGTATGAATATTTTGTCTGTTTAGCAAGAATGCAGTAGAAAGGAAACTTTCACTTACTGAGGACCTGCTAAGGCACCAGGGTCTGGGATAGGTACTTTTAAAATACCTTATTTTATTTCATTCTCATAAGAGCTCTCTTCAGTAGATATTATTTCCCCCATTTTATCATTCACACTCAAAGAGGTGTAGGAGATACTGTGCCCAAATTTGCATACCTGGTAAGTACTGGAGCTCTTTGGCTTTTCAGAGAGCATGGGGATGCAAGTTCTGTTTTTTGTTTGAGGAAATTAAGGTGGAAAGAGGATACTTTCTGTGCTAGTGCAGAACAGACTTGGCCCCAGAATTCAAGCTTCTTAGCCCATTGCCCCTGGACTTCGCTTTAGTGTGTTTGTACAG